TAGAGTTAGTAAACTATTGCATTTTGTACAATTGTGTTAAAATTTCTAGGAAAGATTGTCTTCTAAAAATGTGAGCATTCACTTAATATTTGACAAAGGTGGCAAGAGCACACAGTGGAGTAAAGACAGCCTCTTTAATAAATAGTGTTGGGAAAATTGGGCAGCTACATGCAAAAAAATGAAACTAGACCATCAACTTAACACCATACACAAGAATAAACTCAAAATGGATAAAAGACTTAAATGTGACTCATGAATCCATAAAAATCCTAGAAGAAAATGTAGGCAACAAAATTTCAGACCCCACATGCAGCAGAATTTTCACGGATACATCACCTCAGGCAACAGAAACAAAGGAAAAAAATGAACACATGGGACAACATCAAACTCAAAAGCTTCTGCACAGCAAAAGATACAATCATCAAAATGGAAATGCAACCCACTGTATGGGAGAGCATAATTGCCAATGATACATCAGATAAGGGGTTAATTTCCAAAATATATAGAGTGCTCATACAACTCAACAAAAGGAAAGCAACCCAATTATAAAATGGGCAGAGGAGCTAATTAGACACGTCTCCAAACAGGACATACAAATGGTTAAGAGGCATATGAAGAAATGCTCAACATCACTAATCATCAGAGAGATGCAAATTAAAACAACAATGAGGTATCACCTCACACCTATCAGAATGGCCGCCATCAACAAATCATCACACAACAAGTGTTGGCGAGGGTGTAGAGAAAAGGGGACTCTAGTACACTGCTGGTGGGAATGCAAACTGGTGCAGCCACTATGGAAAACACTATGGTGTTACCTCGAAAAGTTAAAAATTGAACTTCCATTTGACCCAGTGATCCCACTTCTAGGAATATGCCCTAAGAAGCCTGAAACAGCAATCAGAAAGAATATATGTACCCCCATGTTTGTAGCAGCACTATTTACAATAGCTAATATCTGGAAACAGCCCAAATGTCCATTAGTAGACAAATGGATAAAAAAAATAGTGGTACATATACACAGTGGCGTACTATGCAGCTATAAGAAAGATCTCTTATCCTTTGAGACGACATGGAGGGACCTGGAAAGTATTATCCTAAGTGAAACAAGCCAAACAGAGAAAGACAAGTATCATATGATCTCACTTATGTGTGGAATGTAATGAACATCACAGTCTGAGGAATGGGGTAGTCCCAGAGATGTGGAAGTGGGGTACAGACTGACAATCCCCAGAAGAGGGAGTGTGGGGAGAGATAAACCACAGAACTTATATGCATGTATGCATGAACAGTGGACATGGACAACAAAGCTGGGGACAGGGCGGGGAGGGAGGGGAAGGGGGGAATCAGTGGGGGGGGGGCATCTGTAACAAAAACAAATTAATTTAAAAATAAAAATGTGAGCATTATACCCTACAGGGTTGGTGGAGGGGGAGGGGAAAAGGGAAGGAGGAGGGAAGGGTGGTGTTAGGCTACAATGTTCATATTTTGAAGACACTTTCAGATTATAACTGTTACATGTGTGTAGTTTATTCAAAATTTGTGTATATAGTGGACAAATTAAGTCCTTATTTGAAACATCTAGTCCATCTAGATGTTTAGAAGTGCCCAACGTATGTTAAATGTACAGGTAGTAAAATATCACTTTTGTAAATATCTTTTTACTAAAATTCACAGGAAATACTATACTGTTATTTGGGAAAGGAACTGTTAAACCACCTCTGTGAGCAGTATACTATAGTCTATGCTTGTTCAGTGGTTTGGAGGAGGTGGGAGGGAAATAATTGCAAAAGGTAATATACTAGTGTGTGTCATTTGAACATTTTCATATAAAACCATTTTTGTATATTAAAAAAGTAAAAGAAACAAAACAACTCTTTCCTTTGTCCTACAAATAAAATTCCCTTCCTAAGAAATCCCGGGGAAGAAATTGTTCTTCATCACTTAACATGGAGATTAAGTTTTTGGTATCAAGTCAGGAAATTATTAATTTGACTGGAATTGTGTGGGAAGAAGCTTTGCAAGTGTGACAAGGGTTTGGATATTGCCGAAGCCACTTTTTTAGCTTTACCTAAAGTGATGTCTTGCCTTCTAATAAAAGATGAAAACAGCAAATTGCACCCTCCACACACACACAATCATAGGGAATAAGAATATAATTATTATGGGATATCAGATTTTTGTGAAGTACCACTTAAATAGGTGGAACTGTCACCTGATCCCCTTTTGTGTTGACTATGGGAAGATAAGGTTGGGAAATGGTATCAGGGAACTTTTCCTCATTTAAGTCTGAATAAGGTATTTTTGTGAGCATTACCCTAGCCATTCATTAGATAACAACTTAAGTCTACAGGAAGAAATGTAAATTCCAAGCATTTTCAACAAGCTTCTTGTCTCACAAGTGTATCTCTTCCTGCCCTCCTTTCTATCTGTGACATTTTTCAGTAAGCACCCAATAGTGGGTTATTGTCAGTGATTACAAGATCATTTCATTACATTCTCAGAAGGCTTCAATTATTGATTGCTACTAAGCATCAATTGGGTAATAATTGGGTAACTCTCTTGGTAGAGAAAAAGGTATAATTTGGAATAGTCAACCTAACAAGAGAAAAATGGTTAAATGCTTAAAAATTATTTGGGTTATTGCATTGTTAAAAGTAATAAATAGCCCTGGCCTGTTAGCTCAGTGGTTAGAGCATCGACCTGCGGTCCAGAGAGACCCTGGTTTGGTTCCCGCTAAGGCCATGTACCTCGGTTGCAGTTTGTCCCCAACCCTGGTTGGGCCCTGCGGGAGGCAGCCACTTAATGCGTCCCTTTCACATTGATATCTCTCTCTCTCTCTCTCTCTCTCTCTCTCTCTCTCTCTCTGTCTGTCTCTCTCTTCTCTCTGTCTCTCTCTCTCTCTTCCTCTCTCTCCCTCCCACTCTATCTGAACAAAAAATGAAAAAATGTCCTCGGGTGAGGATAAAAAAAGAAAGAAACAAATAATTTGGAGTTAAAGTACTATAGTATTGTATGTGTATAAATACATAATTTACATTTTAATTATTTACACTTAGCTTATCTGCATTTGAAGTGTTTTCTTATAGTGGAAAAACTGTAAGGGTTAAAAGAAAAGGATTAAATACTAGATTCTTAGGATATAGAAATTTGCAAGCATACAATATGTACTGCTTTACAATATTTCACGGATTTGCCGCTTAAGAAAAATAGCTCAGTTGAATTACCTCCAAGTCTACTCCTGTGATAGTATTTCTATCTTTTAAGTGTGATTAGTAGACAGCAGTCTTTCCAATTAATGATATTGATGATTTATATCTGTGCCAAAGACTATGAGAAAAGTTGATGCTTTGAGTAAAATTGAGCTTCTCCCATGGCTTTGGAGTTTTGTTTTTAAATATGTTTTTTTCTTATTCATGTTTTAGAGAGAGAGAAACATTGATTGGTTGCCTCCTGCACGCCCCTACTCCCCCAGGGATTGAGCCCACAACCTCAGCCTGTGCCCTGACCAGGAATTGAACCAGGACCTCTCAGTCCATGGGATGATGCTCAATCCACTGAGCCACACTGGCTGGGCGCTTCAGAGTTTTTATGCCCACCAAATATAGGTTGTGTGTGTGTGTTTTTTTTTCTTCTATTGATTCAAAATTTAAATAAGGAAAGAAAACATTTTATTCCTGTGCATTTAAAATTATGCATTTAGGAAGATGCATTTATTTTACAATGACATTGCATTTTAAGAAGCAGGCATGGAAGTTGTTACCTCAATTTTATGGGTGAGAAAAAGAACCCAGAGAGATAGCCATTTCCCCAGTGTAGTCTGACAAAACAAGACTAAAACCAGAGCCAGATTCTTGGATCCTAACTCTAAGCCCTGCCTCCCATCCATCCTTGTTCCAGTATCTGGAGTTGGTGGCAACCTGTGTTAAGTGATTATGTTTACATTTTGACCTCACAATTTGTGCTCACCAGTTGGCAGCACATTTCTTAGATAGTATAACTCATAGCCAACACTGTCATGCTCTTAAACATGTTACTGTGCTCCATTTAAATGAGCCACATCTTGTTCTGCTTTGTATAAACTTGGTTAAACTCATTAGCCATAACTTATTTTAAGAAATAAATAGCTTAGACTTGAGACTTCTTGAAACACTGAAGTCTTTCAGGCCAAGACAAATGGACTCTCAGTAACAGTGAGGTTCTCATTTCTTTAGCAATCTAGAGAATTTAAGAATATAACTGAAGGGTAAAGAAAAGTGAGCATTTTATAGTCAATGTATAAATGTAAGAGGTCTTTCAGATAGGAACTCACTGAGCAATTTATTATTGAGCACCTTATGTTTGTGTACCTACTACTGGTATATGTTGAGATCAAGAAGAAATATCAGACATTGTCACTCTTGACTCCTCAGGAACTTATAAGCCAATTGAGGAAACCAAACACACCATGAAAGGACTCTACATGTTCAGGCAGAGCAAGGTGGGGTCAGGAAGGTGTTTTAATTTGAGTTGACCCTGAAGCAGACCTCAAGACAAGGATTTGAGTGCATGTATTTTTGGTGGAAGGTGTAAGGAGCATGGGGGAAGGGAAAGGAAACAGGGAAGGGAAGACAACCAATAAAGAGAGCATTATTAGACAGCTATCATGATGGGTGACTAGAAAGTAATCCTATGAGAAAATGCTGGTAAACAGTATAGAACACATACCTCAGAGTTATTCTACTCAAAGGGCTGGGGAGCTAGGGTAGTTACATTCCAGCTCTTATCAGGGCTACAATTAGCGTATGGAGGGCTCTCTCAAAACTATCCAGCACCTGCCTTCTGCAGCCCTGGAAAAAGCCCTCAGGCACAGTGAGCAAAAACTGACAGGTGGAAGTCAGCCTGTGCACATAAAACAGAAGGGTCCAAGGAATATGGGTAGAGGACTGACAGAGTATCTGCCATAGTAGGATTCTTGGTGAAGGTGAGACTTGACAGTACTCTTTCTCATCTCTTTCCAGGTGTCTGCATGTTGCTCTCCCTGTTGTCCATTGTGTATGGAGCCTTGCGCTGCAACATTCTAGCCATCAAGATCAAGTATGATGAATACGATGTGAAAGTGAAGCCTCTGGCCTATGTCTGCATCTTCCTCTGGAGGAGCTTTGAGATTGCCACTCGAGTTATTGTCCTAGTCCTCTTTACCTCCGTCTTGAAGGCCTGGGTGGTACTGGTTGTACTCATCAACTTCTTTAGTTTCTTCTTATACCCCTGGATCCTCTTTTGGTGCAGTGGCTCCCCATTTCCTGAGAACATCGAGAAAGCCCTCAGTCGAGTGGGCACCACCATCGTGCTGTGCTTCCTTACCTTACTTTATGCCGGTATCAACATGTTCTGCTGGTCAGCTGTGCAGCTGAAAATCAACAGCCCTGACCTTATCAGCAAGTCCCAGAACTGGTACCGGCTACTGATGTACTACATGCTGAGATTTATTGAGAATGCCGTCCTCCTCCTTATGTGGTATCTTTACAAGACCGATATCTATATGTATGTGTGCGCACCTCTGTTGATTTTGAAGTTGCTCATTGGGTACTGCACAGCCATTCTATTCATGCTGATATTCTATCAGTTCTTCCACCCTTGCAAAAAGCTCTTTTCCTCCAGTGTTTCTGAAAGCTTTCAGCGGTGGGTAAAGTGTAGTTGCTGTCACTGCCGGTGGCAGAAATCCTCAGATTCCTTAGGAAAGACAGATGTAAGGTCATCCGGAGACAGAGATGAGACACCTTCTAGCAGTAAAATAAGTTCTATGCCTAGCCAGATCTTGAATGCTGATGATCTCTGCTCTGCTTAATGGGACCTGAATCTCTTGGGGCAAAGACATATTGTTTTCTGGGTTGATTACTGTTCTTTATACAGGTGATGAGCCCTGCACAGTTAACAAAGCAGGAAGTTAGCTCTTGCCACCTTGTGAGTTTCTACCCTTTAGAGAGCTCTTGGGTGTGTGGGAACTATGGAGAGAAGCCAGGGAAACTCCTGAGTGTTGGAGTAACAGTCTAAGGCATCACCATTCAGAGACAACCATGTTCTCCCAGGTGTTACTGGTTTTTTCACTGACAAAGTACCCATGATATCTGAGTTGAGCTGGTTAGATCTATCAGGTAGAATGATGACAGGGACTCTCTTGTTTTCTAGTTTTCTGGACTTCTGATCTGGGTAGCCTAATGTTTTATTATCCTTGAACATAGTTTTCACCCAAGAGCTGGCTTGATGATTGGAGAATGTTACTGGGATTTTGCCATTGGCAACTTCATTACTGTTAGAGCTTTCAGAGAGGGCTGTTCAGGTTTAGTTTTTGAATAGACAGGTGTTTCATTTTCATTTCATTAGGGCTCTTTTTACGTAACCAACAGTAGCCACCTTGGCCTGCTTTCTCTAATTTATTTAAAAGTCTAGATTTGGAGACTTTATACCCAAAGATCCATGGTTATAACATCAAATTCTAAATTTGGTTATGGAAGCCCTACAATTTTAGGAAGGTTGTGTGTTCCTTCAACATGTTGAAGAAGTTCTGGAACAAGAGACTTGTTAAAACATCAAAATGATGTAGGCTTTTGTAAACAGAAGTCTTAACTTCTCAGGAAGGTTAAAGATGTGAATCCACTAGAAGGTAGGCTTAAATCTCTTCAAGATTCAGTCCTGTCCTACAATTCTGGGAAATTTTGAGTAGAATTGCTAGGATTTGCCTTCTTAAGAAAGAATAAAATAAAACTCAAAGTTTTTACTCCGCTTTTTCCTTGCCTATTAGGAAAGTTGCAGACAATAATTACTTTGGTTAAGTTAAAAGAAGGTTACTTTGATTAACTTAAATTTTTTCTAGAAAATCTCTACAGAGATTTTTTTCACCTACTGCAGGTATATAGAACATTTCATTTTCTATTAGCTGAAGGAAAAAGTTTTTTTTTTTTTTTTCTTCTCACCGAATTAGATGTTGACTTCAGAAGCTTTTAAATTATAGGGATTAAATGACCAGAAGATATTTGTCTTTAACTGAGAGCATTTTGATTTGCTGTGGTTGAGTTAATTCGTACATCTCCACTTTTATTTTTCTACACTCTCCTATCTTCAGTATAATTTCTGAACCCTATTTGTTCCATAAAATTATTGTGTAGCATATCCTCAGTTGTCTTGGGAAATGCCTGGATTTAGTGCCATTATTTCTACCATAAGAACCTTGATAATGAAATACCTAAAAACAAGTGACCTGTCCTTAACTAGGCTGTACATTTCAGGCAGTGAGTTGACAGTCTAAATACATGGCCGAACTTTCTGACCCATCTAGGGATGGAGAGACTGGTACATCTCAGCCTTCATTTGGAAGCCTATCTCAAGAACCATTATAAAATCTGAGTCTTCAAATATATTTTAAATCATTTTAATGTAGAAAATGGGTAAGCATTTTGAGTGATCTCAAATCAAACTAACAGTGATGGCCTGTCAATTTCCCAAAGCCCAATTATAAACCACGTTTATAAGGACAAAGAGGTTTGATAACTGAATTGGACATTTTGTCATCTTTAACCCTTGCTTTGGGGCCATGTGTGTCCATTCACTTTGGGGGAGAGAAACCACTGTTTTTTGTTTTTGGGTTTTTTTTTTTTCCTGCATGGTGAAAATTTGTCATGGTGAACTGGGAAGTTTTGTTTTAAACTTATTTATATTATATCTCTGAAATGGTAAAACTATAGCTCATACTGCAGATCTAGGTTTCCCTAAAGATAAACAAACCAGCAGATTCCCTCATGTGTTGAGAGTTAAAATATGATTTTCAGTTAGAATTCCAATTTTGAAAACTCTCAATGCTTTGTCTAATTAATATATGTCATAACTTGTCATGACAGCTACTTTACTTGAATTACTATCATTTGGCTGAATGAAAGTGAAGTATTTTCTCAAAATATATTGAAATAAGATCACTGAACATGTTTAGACTTTCTTTCTTCATTACTGGAGACAGCACAGTATACCTGTGAAGCCCTACAAGTTACTTAACTGCTGTATGCCTCAGTTTTCTCACCCACCAAATTTGGATGATATACTTGCCCAGCCTACCTCACAGGGTTTTTGGAAAGATCAAATTAAATTATAAGTGTGAAAATGCTTTGAAAATATTTTAAAGTGTCATGTATATTGAAGGAGTTGTTATAGTTATTCAAATCCATAAACAGGTTTATTATTATTATTATTATTATTTTTACTGTTAGAAAAAAAAAAGTGGCATCAGCCACATGAGTGTCTTGAGTGAATACAATGGCCTTTGGCCTTATGGAAGGGCAAGTGTAAGTTGTCTTTACTCTTAAGGAAAACTCAGCCCTTGCCCTTCTCTTACCATCAGTTGATTACAAAAATTTGTACCCAAACACAATTCGTGGAGGGAAAAGACCCACTGCAATCTGAGATTGCTTTTGATGGCAGATGAGTTTATCTTTTTTGTATCTATCATCTTTCATAAAGGATATAGCAGCATCTTTTGGTAATTTATAACTTGAATGCCTGAGATCCTGCTATACTCTAACTGAATGTGGGTTTAATCTTTTCAGCCTTGTAAATGGGAAAGTAAATGTTAAAATTATTTTCAAATGCTGCATTTCCTTGGAAACCACCTTGGAAAATTAGTGCTATGGTTATGTGTGAGTGTGTGTGTCAGTACTTCTCAGCCAGTAAATTGTGAATGTGAGTTTTTATAGGCTGCTTTTCTGCAGTCTTTGATGCTAATGAATATTGTTTATGTTTCTTCATATAATAAATTAATTTTTCAATTTCTCCTTGCTTTTCATTCCTTATACAGTCCTTTTTTAACTTTTTAACTTCAGGGAATGTTTAAAAACAGAAATTTGGAAATTGTTTTGTTGTGATTATGGTTTTGTAACCTCACCTGGAAATTCTTTCTGTAGTACGAGAAGTCTGAGCATGCTAGGATTCTGCCTGGTGAACCTGAGAGTCCATGGAATCTCCTCTGATCGTTTTTTATAAGCATTTACTCTGTTTGTTAAAGCTGTACTGCTGGAACCTAAGATTCTACTTAGCTGTCTGTTGATTGCTGTGTGCGATACAAAAGAAGAGAGGCAATAGAAATCTCTTCTAGACAAATATAAGTGATATACTGATTCAAAAATATAAAATACTGAAAGGGAGACTTGATATTAACAAATAAGTAATCAAATGTAAATGATGATCCATGGTTGGAAAAACATCAGTTACTTCTTAAAGGGGTTTGTTTCAGAGCATGGGACAGGCATGGGTTATTTCAATAATTCCTTGTCTTCTGAAGGTAGCCGTGCAATTTGGAAAGACTTAACCATAGGATACATCTTTTGAAAGAGATCTCTTGGTATTAAATCAATCCCTTCAGAAAACTGAATATAAGTATAGTGTTTAAGTACATCAATCTAAAATTACTTCATTTGGTGTTTTTAAATGTTTTATTTTGAAATAATTTCAAGGTAATTAATAGAAGATTATCAAGAATATTGCAAGGAATTCCTTTATATCCTTCACCCAGATTCACCTATTAACATTTTGCTATGTTTGCTTTATCATTCTCACTTTCTTTTACCCCTCTTTCCCTAAATACTTTAATGTGCATTTCCTAAGAACAAAGGCATTCTCTTCCATAGCCACAGTACAGTGATCAAATTCAAGAAATTAACATGGATACAGTACTAGTATCTAATCTTGAGTCCTTGTTCCATTTAACAATTGTTCCAATCACTTCATTTGTTTTCACAAAGTTTCCTCAACAATGTAAACCTACTTAGTTCTCTTCTGTGAAGTTTTTAGTTTAAAGTTATCAGTAAGTTTTAACTTGCCTCTGAATGCTGGGAAAGATACATCAAACTTTGAAAAGTTATTTGAAGAGAACATGTATTATCAGCATTGACTAATAACTTAAAGCCATAAATTTGGAATGTTTACTGGTGAACTGTGGGTAATTCTTTTTCATGGATGTTCATTTTAGGCATCAAGTGTTTGCTGCTTAGTATGTGAGCCTGCAGTCACTATCCCGCCCCACTGTTTTACAGAGTTTGGGCCCAAGTTTGTAAAAATGAGGAAGAAGATAAGGGAAGTACATATATGTCATTCCTCTATGGCCATATTTCTCCAGGTCCCCCTTTTCAGGAGATTATATATTCTCTATGAACATCTTTACAAATGGGAAAGAGCTCAGAAATGTCAACTGTATACTGTAATTTAAAAAGTAATGTTTTGAATATGTTCTCTTTTTCAGAGAAAGGCCCTTTACAGCAACAGAGATTTGTACAGAGCTGGGAATTCAGAAACATCCCAATCACTCCTTTCCCAGCACATAACACACCCTTTAAGACTAGGCCCCTAACCTGCTAAGAAGGTGTATCTGCCTCAGAAGCCTGCGTGAGGGAATACCTCAGTCCTCCTCATGACTCTATCTGCATGGTTGTTTTTCTGGAAATTATTAGGCCAAGGCAGTCTAAAACAGTGTTGGTTTAAGCCAGTTTTGTATCCCAAAGCAGTATGCAGCTGCATCTTTGTCACAGGTTAGCAGGAAATTTCCCACCTAGAGTCCACTGCAGCATACACTTTCCGGGGTTCAGCCCCTCCCAAGGAGAGGTTCATCCAGGTAGATTTTTGAGATTTTGCTTATGCTTCTGCTCCCTCTCTATCTCCCATCCTGAATTAATTCTCTAGCTCTGAATGATGAGTTCCTGATTGAAGCCTGATTAGCCTGCTCCCTAGAGCCCTGGGAATATTATCCTCCGTAGATATCTACACTATATATACTGGTTTAATGTCTTATCAGTCGGCTTCCTATTTTAATTATCTAAACTCTACAGTTAATGAGTCGAGTTTACAAGAATGATAGCACTCAAGAAACAAAACAAAATTTAGAAATTCTATTCAGGGTGGTGCTTTAAGACCATTCCCATCACCACCCAGTAGAGAAGAGAATGGTTCCCTGGTATAACCTCCTGACAAGTTAACCTTCTAAAGTTGAGTGGCAAAATATTTTACAACAATGGTGTCCAGCTATAGGGCTGCAGACCTCCAAGAATTGGAAAGTCATAATGCTTCTCTCCACTAACCAGAGATGTCTGGCATACACTTTATAATCATTTTTTAAACCCATGGGGATGCTGTTGTGAGTGATAGAACAGGACTGATTAAAATTATCACTGTATTTAAATTAACTTTGTCATTAACCCCCCAACCCCTACCATGAGCTGTTGTTAAAAATTCAACCACTATTATGTGGGAGAGGACTTTAAAAGACACCCTTTGTCATTGGAAATGTTGGGAACTGCTACCCTGGAAGGATTTTTCTCTGCTGGAATATTTTCTCATGTGCGCTCATAGTATACTCTTTTTCTTTTAAGAATAGGGTTTCTCACATGCAAATCACGTGGCTTCTCTCATTTCCAGCTTGATACAAGAGTTAATGTAATGTGAATGTGCTATCTTCAAAAAGTAAGTTATCTGCTGTCACACAAAGTATTATCATCGAAGCAAAATGCTTTTACAATTTCAAAGCACTAATAAATGTGTATTATAATAACCATCAAAATAATGAAGTTATTTCTAAGTGTTAATTCATCTCCTTAGCTGTATTAGAAATAATATCAAGGTGGTCTTAGCTATGATTTGTAGAACACCTGATTAAAAATAGCTTAAACATAAGGATTTTGTTATTTAAATAAACAAGAAGTTTGGAGAGAGGTGATTGTAGTTTCCAGTGGTCCAAACATTGTCAGATACCAGAGGCTTTCCATCTTTCCTTTCTGCCATCTTCAACCTGTTGCTTCTTCATTTTTGTCTCATGATTGCAAGATGACAACCTGTGCTGCAGGCATTACATTTGCACAGCTGAATTCACAATTAGAAAAGGGATTTCCCTTTAGTATCTATTATTTCAGGAGGAAAATATTTCCTAGAAGCCACCCATCCCCAACAGCAAAATTCCCCAAATTTCTTACTGGCCACAGTTGAATCGCATCCCCATCTATAAAGCTATTCCTGGCAAGGAGAATGGAATTGCCATGATTTCCTTTGACTACACAACATTCACTCTTTGAGGCTGAAAACGGGCTGCCATCCCTTAACTTACGGGAGGAAGAATATCCACAAAAATAGCATCCTAGAAGAAACATTGAGTGGGGGAAATAACCATTTGCAGGGCAACGTGTAGTGTCTTCCATTGACATTTAAAAATAAATAAAGATCCAGATAAGTTGACAACTTGGGGAAGAATGTGAATGCACCCTGCCTCCTCTTTCCAAAAAAATATCCCATACTTACTACATGTCCTCTTGTATTATATGTTGCTGGTTAAGAAGCTCTCTGGAAGAAGCCATATATTGAATAAATAGTGGCCTTATACCCAATTATCCTGTGAGAATGCCTACTAGTGGGATTATTTTAGTGTGGCAGGATTGAAATTGTGAGGCTTTGGGCATCTAGAAAAAGCAAGGAGGAGAATTCTCAGCTCTAGAGGATCAGGGTTCCTTGAGATTAAAGAGGGGAAAGCAGATATCCATTCATTAGTTCAACAGATATTTAAAGAGTGTCCTGTGAGCCCAGTGCTAGACTGGGCACTGAGGGTAGACTGGCATGCAAAAAATTACCCCTTGTTTTCAGAACTCATAATCTATTTGAAAAGACGGACACCTGACCTGGCGATTTCAATACATGAAGGTAAAAGCTATGATGAGACTATAACCCAGGAGTTCCTAGGGACAAAGATGAGCCCAGATCTGATTTTGGAGGTTCAGAGAAGGCTCACAGCAAAAATGACATAAAATCTGAGACCAGAGGTGAATTTACCCTAAAGTTTATAAAGCTTAAGCCTCAGGCCCCACAATGAATACTGGAAGTTATGGCATACTCCAGGTGGGAAGGAGAAGTCAAGATGCAATGTGAAAGCTCATTTACTAAGCATTTCTGCCACATTATCCAAAGAGAACACAGAAGGGACCTGAATCTCTAAGGCACCAGTAATATGTTGTGATTTCCTTTTCAGTCTAAATATTCTTATATTTTATATCTAATGTTGAATTTATTTTAAATCTTTTTTTTTTCAAAGCCTTTTCCCAGACCAAATTGTCTATGCTGCAGGCCCCATAAAACTTAGATCTGCCTCTACTTGAGATCTAAAGCATGAATAGGCACTTGCCTGCTGAAGGCGCTGGAAAGAATGTTCCTGGTAAAGGGAAATGTGCAGAAGTCTGAAATTAGTAAAAAGGACTTTTATCATTAGGTGACAGTCCGTAGGTCAGTGTTGCTGAACATGGGAGATAGGTGAGATTGGAGAGGTCACCAGAAGCCACATGGTGAGATGGAAAAGAAAATAATAGTGTTGATATGTGCCAGGCACTATGCTGAGTGTCTTATACACATGATCGCTTTTATTCATCACCTCAATTTTATGTAGCAGTTGCTGCAATTGTTGCCATTTTAGAGAAAACAAAGCTGAGACTAGTGAGATAAACAAGCTTTCCTGTGGTTAAACAGTAAGTAGCAGGGCTGAGATTCAAGCCCAATATCACCTGGCGCCAATGCACAAGTTTTTAACCACTAGGCTCTCCTCACTCCTGAATTTTGCCTAATTTGCAGATATAGTTAAGTTTGGTAAATGTCAGAAACTGAGGGAAGAAACAAGCCTTGTAGCATTTCCTGGGGTACCCTGCTATGAAGGGGACAGGAACGTGAAT